TCACTTCTAAATGAGAGATCTTAGATTATTGGGCTAAGCCTATTTCCCCACTCTCGCATCCCTTAGTGCAGATAATATTATTTGTTCAACAAAATCTGTTGTGCTCAAATAGCCTTTGCCCATCCACCCTCCTTTATTTGATACATTTGGACATGTTCATGATGACGGTCTATTTATTTGATACATTTAGACATGAACGTAGGCAGCTACCCCTGCTCAACTCTTTTTATCATGAAAAATGCTCCAACTAAAACTATAAATTATCAGTATACTCAGAAATAAAGTCTTAGTCAAAATACATAGTCACATTCTATATTGTTTTTACCCTCATCCTTTTGAGCATGTCATTTTGCCATTAGCTAATAACTTACAATTTTAGTGTTCTAAGATCAGTATCCAAAATTATGTTGTTGGACAATAAGTTGCCCCACTAGAATAGTATTTGATGTGTTATAAAGTAAGGAATCTTATCTAGACTAGTTTGAGTGTTAAGTCAAACATTGTTAATTGTGATGTAGAGAAGATCTCTCCTTATCTTATGTAAGGGATAAAAAGGATGACGCCTCTTGTATCCAAATAGTTTTAGGTGAGGTTCGAGAGGGTTCCTCCTAAGCCTGTAAATATGTGTGTATTCTATGTAAGTAGGCAGACTTGAATAGAAATCGGTTCTTTGTATAAACTTCTCTTCTTGAGCAAATATCTTTGTTTGAGTCATCCTTGGTAAAGATCCTGATTAGAGTAAAGCCTTTAGTTTTGGTGGTATCATGTAGGTGCCTCAAACATGGTTATCCTCAAAGCTTTTGTATTCCTTCTTACTCAAATTCTTAGTATGCTCTGCAGTTGTAGCGAAACTTCGAAAGCCTGATCGTTTACATCATAACTGAATCTCAATAAAGTTCTTTCCTCTTTTACACAAAATTAAGTAATTTTTATACACAAATTAACATGCTTTCACTTCACACTAAAGGTACGAAAATGAAATTTACTTATTTCACATCTTTATACTTTACATGAAATTTTTTTCCCGCACATTTTCTTTTTTCACTAGTGAATGGTTGGGAAGAAAAATATGTGTGGGTAAGCAAAACTCTTACTTTACAATATCAAACATGTAAAGCAAGGGAGAGACCAAAAGACGCATAAAATGAACCTCCCTATCAACCATTGATGAATAAATGAATGCAGTCGGTCAGTAGAGATATGAAGAGAAACCAAGGCTGGCTGAATCGGGAGCAACACAAACTTGTTGCAGATACAACTGTCGCTAGCTCCATTGTTGTTAACACTCAAATTTCTTACGTGCTACAAAGGCTATCGAACTTTCTCTACACGGATCAACAACCTGCAGCCTTTAAAAAGTTATCGTAGGGGCTTGATGCCAGTAGCTGAAAGTGTGGATAGGGTTGATACTCAGTTATGCAAAGTATCGAAGAGCCATTGCCAACAGATTGGTTGAGTGAAATAGCACTTGATTCAAGGAATGGATTTCCACTTTGCGGTCCCAGATGGTTTTCGGAAACTTAGAATATGCTAAAAACACAGTATGCATGCAATGCAAAATAAAAGGATTGAATTTATAACTTTCCCATATAGTGTATGCTAAAGAAAATACCGTAGGAGTGCCCAACGGAACAACAGATAGAGTTTCCTTTTCTTGGTTGCAATCATTAGAAAATCTAATCAAACTTTCTTGTCTCTGCTGGGAAACTATAAATGTCGACAACTTCTGCTGCTTCCTCGTTTGAATGGCCTCAGACTGGCCAACCATTTCCATGTAAGGCATATTTGTAGCAACTGAGACTGATAATCTTCCAACTTGATGTGTTGTCTCCAAAACCTGCACACGAATCGCTCTCTTACTTAGCACAATGTTCGACTTGATGTAATGTCCATTGATTTACTTATTTTCTGTCTGGTTTCTACAAAGGCCACAAACCAGCAACAGTGTGTGAGCGGCCTCACTTACCGACTCTAAAAGCTGATCAATGCTTATTATGCTTAAACTTTCCACTGCAACATTTGTACCAGGGTCGGTTTGATTTTTCTATAGTAGAAGGTGACCTTAAAGCATCCTCATCACCTTAAGGGCTGGTTTGGTATTACTGTGCTTTAAAAAAAAATTGCTTCTACTATGCTATGAGAATAAGCAGCTGTAAAATAAAGTAGCAGAGTGTTTGGTAAACTTTTTTGTAAAAATGCTTTTTAAAAAAAAAGCAGTATTATAATGTTTGGTAAACTTTTATGTAAAATAGATGTGAAAAAAGCTGATTTTTCAAAGTTAAGTTTTGCAGCTTCTTGTTTTTGGTTTTTTTTTTTCATCCAAAACTGTGAAAAAAAGCTGAAACTGAATGTTTAACAAACACAAAAATAACTCCCAACTTTTTTTTATACCGGTTTTTCTTAGAATCACTTCAGTACAACTTGACTAGTACGGTAAACAGTAGAAATCAAAGTTCTAGCCATAACCGTAATGTTAGACATGTTTTCTAACATCACGGCCATCACGTCAAGAACATGACCATCTCCTACCGGCACAATATAAGAGCAATCAAACCTACCCTGTGAGACTACTTGTTCCATCTTTAAAGAAATGTACAGGATGTTACCATCACCTTATGTGTCAACTGCACAAGGCACTCACCTGCTGCTCCTTTTTGTTCTTTAATTATTCTTTAATCAGTTTCATCCTGTCAAAGTGCTCCGCAAAACAGCCTGGCATCCAACCCAAGCCAGGCAACAGACCAGCCCATTTCAGATAGACCCAGAGGCCGGCCTATTTGGCTAGCGTGTGCAGCACACTCGTGACTGGGCGCGAGTAGGAGACAAGGGTGCAGGCGGCGGGGCTCGCTTGTCAGCCCACATGTGTTCACCCGGATTAGGGCTACGTAGCCCTCCTCAGTGTCGTTGGATTTCCAACGGTAAAAAAATTTTAAATTTGACTTTTGAAATGGACCGTCCGATCACAGATAACAGTCCATGTTTTTTTCACCAAAAAAAAAAAAAAAAAAAACAAAAGGCCCAACGGTCATAATTTTGACCATTGGCCTCGTGACAACTCGTTGGCTGTTGGATTTGAATATTTTTCAAATCCAACGATCCAGATTAATTAACAACATTAAAATTTATTAAAAATTATGAATATTTTTTTAAAAATACAGAAAAATTTAAAATTTTTTTTTTCTATAAATACCTAACTCTCATCTTCCACTTTACACCATATTTCAATATTTTCTACACTTTCTACATTTTCTACATTTGAATATTTTGTACACTTTGAGAGAAAAAAATGACTTTGTGAAAGCTCATTGAAGTTGTTACGTTGTGTGAATGTTAGGTTCACACTACTCATGACCCGATTACGAGTAATAAGATGGATAAGCGAGAAATGTGAAGTAAAATTAAACCTACTCTATAAGAGCAATCAAACCTACCCTATGAGACTACTTGTTACCATCACCTTATGTGTCAACTGCACAAGGCACTCATCCGCTGCTCCTTTTTGTTCTTTAATTATTCTTTAATCAGTTTAATTAAATATATAAAAAAAAAGGCGAAAATCATTTTTCTCATATAATATATATTTAGAAACCACAAACACCATGTCATAACTCATAAGAATTAGGTTGGTTGTGCTGCTTTGAGTTTTCAATCTCTTGTTTGGCTTCTCGTGACAAGGGGATGGACTGCACTGTACCTAACGACAGTGTTTTGGGGTTTGATTTCAATTTATTTACAAGTTTGCCATTCCTTTAAAAACGAATGTATCTGTCCAGCGGTGCTTTTCTGCGTCGGTGGATGCTCCGCTTCGACTACTCATTGCCTTCTGCTTCTTCACCGCTTCTTCCCCTCTCCCTCCTCGATGACCTTTTCGACGACATTCTCTCGCACCTACCCGGCTTATCCTTCGCATCAGCGGCTTGCGTTAGCAAATCTTGGAACCAAATCTGCAGCCGAATCCTCGCTAGCCCGAAGCTCGCCTCTGCTCTCTCTCTCTCCACCCCTCGCCTAAGGTTTGGTTTAGAGTCTAGACCCCTGTTCGGTTTCCGAGAAAATCGCAAGCTCAAATTTTCTCGCACATTTTCTCAAGTTCAGTGTTGGAATTGATAGGTTGCGGTGAAGGAGGTTATCGAGAAGGTTCTGGCTGGGCGGATACGGCCTCATTTCGTTGTGGCTGATATTGGAAGTGGGTTTGGATTGTATGGCATTTCCAAGTTTGTATGTGATCTTGCTCATATAAACCCCTTAATCTTAATTAGTATATCTGAGCAGGGTGAGATTTCTGTATGATTTTTTTTTTTTTTTTTTGTGGGTTTGTGGGTTTTAGAGATTTTTCTGTGAAAGCATTGACTTTTATATGATTTTTCTGTTGGAAAATAATAATGTTCTTGTTTTTTTTTTTTTTTTGCTGTTTTTGCTGATGCGAAATTTTTGGCTCCTTTGAAAATGATCATTTCTTCTGTCGACTACCAACACTCGCTCACATTATTGCTCTCAAGCCTCGTATTGGCACCGAGGGTAAAAAAACACAGAGGACAAACAGTTTATTGAATTGCCTAGACCAACCAGACAGTAAGAATATTCTGACGAAGTAGGTCGAAGTTAATTATGAAGGGCATTTATAATTCCTCCTATTAGTTCTATCTAACAATTTTTAATCTATTTCTTAATAACTTGACCTCAATTCCTTGAGACTTACATATCCCTCTTACCCAAACGTTTCAATTTCTCAATTGCTCAAGCGCAACCTCTGCATATACCGACGAAGAAGTGTATTGAATATGGCTGCTTCTCCATAGTTAGGATCCTTCAGTAATATAGTAATTAGCAATAAACTCAAGCTATTGGTCGGACCCGGAGGGAGGATAAACTTGACATTATACTATAAATTTGATACAAAAATCAAAATTTAAGGATTAAAATATCTGGAGCGCCGAGTACTCCGGAGCACCCCTTGGCATTACATGTGTAAGAGGCGACCTTGATTTGCTTAGTCAATGACAAGAGGACTAAAAAATATTCTACCATCAAAAGAAGACAAACACCTAAGAATGAAGATCAAAAGTTGAATATATTAACAGAAGTTACAAGGACAGACTGACTTTAAAAACAAAGGCCATGTTACATAGAAGTCAGAAAGCAAATCTGAAAGCTCATCACCCATGGCAGAAGCGGCAAAGAGGTAAGTACCTACTACTTCCCTCATGTTTTTGAAGCTTCACACATCAGACCATTTGGCCACACCAACAGTAATTCAATTTCTTGTACGTAAGTGTTGTATACAACCCTACTCTCACGTTTGTGAAATGTTGTACACAACGGTTTATTTATGAGAATTTCTCCAAGGTGTTGAAAGTTTAAGCATGAGAGTGTATGAATCGAAGAAGGAAGAAAGAAAAATCACAGAAATGGAGATAGTGATGGATGCTTCTCTTTCTCTGTGCAAAATCACAGAGGAATGTTTTCTTTTATTCTCACACTAGCACACACAATCGTGCACTGCAAAACGGTTAGTTATGCTAATGGAATCTCACCATCACTTCAAAAGATCTCAGCCGCACATCTAGCCGGATTCAAGGTGATTCATCCACATGTCACTTAGACAAAATTACAATATGAGCCCTACACTTGGTAATTTTAACCATAGTGAATACACAACTAAATGCAAGGCTTATTTCTACTAACTTAAAATCAGCTCATGGCTTATACACTAACATTCCCCTTGAAGCTTTGAGCTGATATGACTGCAAGCTTATCTTTGAGATAGTTGAACCTCTCCTTTGGCAGAGCTTTAGTAAAACTGTCTTACCACTTGTTCTTTGGTAGGACAGTAGACCAAATCAACAATTCCTTGCTGCAAAGCATCCTTGATGAAGTGATACCTTCTATCAATATGCTTTGTCTTTTGATGAAATACTGGATTCTTGGTTATAGAGATTGCAATTGTATTGTCACACTGAAAAGGAGTTGCTTCAGTTTGCAACTCTCCAAAATCCTCCAGAACAAACCTAAGCCATATAGCCTGCGTTGTGGCTTCTGATACACTAATGTACTCTACCTCTGCAGTTGAAAGTGCAACACAATTTTGCTTAACAAATGCCCATGAGAAGACTCCACTCCCAAAGGGAAATGCATAGCCTGATGTATTTTTGCTATCATTAATTGAACCTCTCCAATCACTGCCACAGTATCCAATCAGTATTGCATTCTTCCCCTTTTCATAATTCAGTCCATAATCTAGTGTTCCTTTGACATACCTAAGCACTCTCTTGGCAGTCCCATGGTACTTATTTGTAGGGCAATGCATATATCTAGCAAGTAAGCTAGCTGCATACATCACATATGGCCTAGTAGCATTAAGATATAACAGACTGCCCACAATCTTCCTATATTGCTCTTCACTTGCTGGGCCGCTTCCATCTTCTTTGCTCAATTTGTCAACAAGAGGAGTACAGCCAGATTTGCATTCACTTAAGCCAAACTTATTCAATAATTGATGGATGCTTGTTGGATACTGTGACACATGTATCTTAATTGATTTTTAGTGAAATGAGTCTTTGATTTTGTCAGGTATGCGGTTGTCACAGGCTCGAATCAGGGGATTGGATTCGGAACAGTTAAGAAGTTGGCAGCAAATGGGATCATGGTGGTGTTAACTGCTTTAGATGAGAAAATGGGTCTTGAAGCTATTGAAATTTTGAAAGAGTGTGGCCTCTCTGACCTTGTGGTTTTTCATCAGCTTGATGTAACGGATCCTGCTAGTGTTGCTTCCCTAGCTGATTTTGTCAAAACCCAATTCGGGAAACTAGATATCTTGGTATGATTCGAAACCATTTTTATAATCAAACTTCCTGTTCTGAATAAATACTTTCTTTTTGCCAATTTTTTCATCTGTGAATTTTAAAATTTTTAATGAACGGACCTCATTCGCCAACTCTATATGATACTAATATTTCAAGCATATTATGTGTACCGTACTGAAAATTTTCACTTATCCACTGTGTTGTAAATTTTAACTGAGTCGCTTCGTAATTCAGCTTAAAATAAGACAGAAAATCCGTAAGTACGATGAAGGGTCTTAATATTTTGTTGGGATTGAACAAAGATGAAATGTTTCGGAACTTCCACAGGTAAACAATGCAGGGGTTAGAGGAACCATTGCAGACCCTGAAGCTTTCAGAGCTGCTGTAGCTTCTGGTGTTGGTAGGGTAAGTCTCGTTATTCACTATTTAAAATCCAACTTATCTTGAGTTTTCAAAATTTGGCTTTCAGTTTTCAGTTTTTGGTTTTACATTTTTATTTTCTGAAAACTGAAAACTGAAATGGTTATAAGATGGGTCCTTACATTGTCAAATTTGTAGGTTGAGTAGTGCTATCCACACACCCATTTTTACTTCTCACACACTCCTTTCAATTTTTTGTCGTCGGATCGAATGAATTGAAAAAGATCAGTGACCAAAAATTAACAAGGGCGTGTGAGAGTTAAAAATGGGTGCGTGAAGAGAACTTTCCTTATAGGTATGGCTAAGTGCCATAAATCTTTCATTCAAAAATGCACAATGGCAAAATGAAATCTTTCTTTTCCTTGATGCAGGATGGTGTGGGAGTCAATTGGAGTGAAATAATGACTCAAACGTACGAGTTAGCTGAAGTATGCGTGAGAACAAACTACTATGGTTCCAAGAAAATGACCAAAGCACTGCTTCCCCTCCTCCAGCTATCTGATTCACCAACAGTTGTCAGTCTTTCTTCTGGCATGGGATTGTTAAAGGTGCGAAGATTTTTCATACTTTTGGCATCTCATCGTATTTCTGTTTCAAGATCAAATGTCTTCCATAATTGGGAAAACTGAAATTCTGTTGGCATGCATGTTTTGTTTCAGCATATCCCAAATGGATGGGCTAAAGGGTTGTTAAGTGATGCCGAAAAACTCACAGAAGACAGGATAGACGAGGTTTTGAGCGAGTTTCTAAAAGACTTCAAAGAAGATATGCTAGAAACCAGAGGATGGCCTGCTTCCCTCTCTGCCTATATACTCTCAAAAGCAGCCATAAACGCTTTCACGCGGATCATGGCCAAGCAGTACCCGAATATCTGCATCAACTCTGTAAGCCCTGGATTTGTCAAAACAGATTTGAACTTCAATACCGGAATATTAACAATAGACGAAGGTGCTGAAAGTGTTGTGAGGCTAGCAATGGTAACAAATGGCAGCCCTTCTGGCCATTACTTCTATGAACAAGAAGTCTCACCCTTTTGAGGATGACAGAATCTTTCAATTTCATGGAATAAATATCCTTGTTCTGTATGCAATGATGAGTAATAATCTTTGAATTTTCGTAGACGAACAATGTATCCTTAAAAAATTACTATGTTCTTGTTGCTGGAACCTGGTGATCAGCCACACCTTGCAAAACGAGAACGCATGGTTTCCACTTCCAGAGGTTTTCCTTGCAGAGCACTATTTAACTCTAAACAAATTGTTCCAACTACAGAAGTAAAAAAGGAAAAAACAAATTAAGCAAGGCGTGAAAAAGAATTAAGCATGCATAAGCCAGTACCTCACTCATAGCTCGTCTACCATTCGTTAATTTTCTCCTCTTATCCCACAATAGGCCTTTATATCGGACTCTCCCTCCTTGATCACATTTCCCATTGCACAAAATCGTTCCTACCCACGATTGTTCACATAGATTGTTAGAGCAATTTGTTCTCATCATCCACTAGTCCATGTGGTACTTGTATAACCCCATTGTTGAAGGTAAAGATACCAAGTGAATACCACTCCTTGTCTCTGTTATGCTTCACTCAATGATGCCAAGCTTTTATTCTGTCATCGCTTCATACCTAAATCCAAAATAAAAAGACTAGTTTTGGTAATGTTTAAATTTTATGTTGGCACATCAAGTTAGACTTTAGCGAGCCAAGTTGGCTAGAATAGGCGTGCATCCCTCCCTCTCTACAAGTTAGTTCGAATTCTCTTCTTTGTTATTTATATTAAATTACAATGTCGCTCAAATATATTTGTACATCAAATTATATGAGAATACATGTGTATAATAAGTTCACTATCTATCTTTATTTTTATTTTTTTTTATGATCGATGAAAGCTTCATTGGTCATAAATAAGAATTTTCATCCACAGAAGCAACTTCTATTCTGTAGAAACACTATCTACCTTTATTAAATGTATCATCATATTTCTAGTTCTCTGTTGTGAGTTTGAGTGAGTCTAAATCAGAAAATCCTTAAAATTAAACTCACACACCAAAAGATAGGTTTATCATCATCATCATCTCTCTCTCCTTTCTATCCAGATCTTCCGAACCAAATATAATGAATAAAGAAAAAAAATTAACCTTAGGCGTGATTTTCGGTTATAAAATTTCAATTTGAACTAAGAAGAAATATTATTTTTCTTGTTCCTTTTGTTGGCAATGTATGGGATGTGAGCAATCTTAGGCCAGTCCTCACCTGTTTCTTTCTTGCACCTTTCGCTTAACGTGGGGAACCTATATATTTCCAATCTATTTAAACAGGGGAGTCCACGAGTCCCTTCTGGCAGTGAAGTTAGATTAGGACACTCCAGGATGGTCAAGATAGAAAGACGGGGAAAAGAAGGCAACGGCATATTTTCCGTTGACGAAGAAGAAGCAGCAGTGTTATGAGTGTGCGCCCTCCACCATCCCTTCAGAACAGGGCAATCTGCTATATAGAGGTCCTCCAGGGAGGGGAAGAATGAGATCCTCATCATCTCATCACTCATACTATTACTGCTCTCATTCTCTGATATGTACTCCAACTTCTCCAACCCATGAAGTCTAAGAAACTTAAGGGAAGGGAAATGATCCAAGGGTGGAAGATGTTGGCATCTCTTACAATCCCACATTGTGAGATTAACAATATTTATGAGAGAAGAAAACCAACTCGCAAATCTCACACCACTATTGAAACACACTGTCAACTGCTTTAGATTTTAATAGGGTTGCAATACTTCCATTGACTTTATAATATCCTCCTCAACTGCATTTACATCTTCTCTATATTTCCAGAATAATTCCAACGAATGGAGATGCTGTTTGTCCTTGAGAGGTGTACCAACATTTGATTCTGACACCACATCTTTCTCGTGCCTCAAATTCCTTATGGCTAACTCTCCCCTTAATTCCTTAAGGCTCCCCAGCTCACCAAGACCAGCACTACCGCCCGTCCCCCAAACAATTGCTTTCGCTCAAAACAAATCTATTCAATGTGTTTCGTCATCTACCACACCCATTCAACATGAGATGCCTTAAGTTGATCATTTTTTTAATGTCTCTAGGCAATTCCACAAGCCTATCACACCATTGAGATCTAGTGTTTCCAAATTCGAAAGTTCAACTATCCAATCTGGAAGTCTCTCCATCAGATTGCCACTAAGATCAAGATATCTCAAATGTTTCGCTTTTTTAAGACAATTAGGTAATATTGTAATTCCTAATGTATTGAGACTCAACATCCGTAATGACTTAAAACTTGAAACAATTGCAGTATAAAATGCATTAAGTGAGGAACTTTGTTGATCACGCCAAAGTCGTTGCTGAAGAAAAAGAAAAGTTCGTATCTTGTTTGCTTTTAGCAAGGATGTTGGCACTTCCCATTTCGACAAATCAATATAAAATTGAAAGATACGTGACGAAATTTTTCATGAAAATTCTTTCGGTTCAGATCAACTACGGCGCTTCTGACCCCCGACACTGAGATTGCAAATTTGACCTGTTGCAACTGCTTCTGTTGAAAGAGCTTTTTTGGTGATGACTATTGTGAAGAATCCACATCGTAATGAGACAGGTGATGAATGGTTAAATGATGGTTTGGTTGTATACATTGAGAATGATGTATTTGATTTTATTGATATCGTTGTTGTGATACAATGTTTCCAAAATATAAGAACACGTCGTGGGCAATCGTAAATGGAAGCATGATCAATTTTTTAACCCCATCATTATAAATTTATGACTCCGCCACTGCTAACAATTTACACCACTAAATTTGATCACTGTTTGTTCGTTCCCGGCTAAAACTATTGGCATTATGTTGGAACTTGTGAGGGACCATTATCCCACATCCCCCATAAACATACACCAATCCCTCTTTATAACTGAGTTCCCTCACTTATTGTTTGAAAGGAATTGGGCCAAATCTTGGATCTTGGGCCTTTGACTTGAGATGTATTTGGGTATATATTAAATGTCAAAGATGGATCTTGGAACAGACTCAAAACATTTGGTTAGTTATACCCTGCAATATATATTTCAATATAAACTGTGCAATATTGTTATTTGATTGGTTCTAACACTAAACTCCCTCCCGATCCGTAAATGAGTGAACCTTCAGGGTCACAATTCAGTTTTGTTTATTAGCAAGTTCAATACACGAATTTCCTCATTTATCATACAATTGTTCAAAAGCTTAGGATCTTTGACTCCTCATCTTTATGCCTTTCGCGCCTAAGGAGACGACAGAACAATGACAACAACACTCGCTCACATTATTGCTCTCAAGCCTCGTATTGGCACCGAGGGTAAAAAAACACAGAGGACAAACAGTTTATTGAATTGCCTAGACCAACCAGACAGAATATTCTGACGAAGTAGGTCGTAGTTAATTATGAAGGGCATTTATAATTCCTCCTATTAGTTCTATCTAACAATTTTTAATCTATTTCTTAATAACTTGACCTCAATTCCTTGAGACTTAGATATCCCTCTTACCCAAACGTTTCAATTTCTCAATTGCTCAAGGGCAACCTCTGCATATACCGACGAAGAAGTGTATTGAATATGGCTGCTTCTCCATAGTTAGGATCCTTCAGTAATATAGTAATTAGCAATAAACTCAAGCTATTGGTCGGACCCGGAGGGAGGATAAACTTGACATTATACTATAAATTTGATACAAAAATCAAAATTTAAGGATTAAAATATCTGGAGCGCCGAGTACTCCGGAGCACCCCTTGGCATTACATGTGTAAGAGGCGACCTTGATTTGCTTAATCAAAGACAAGAGGGCTAAAAAATATTCTACCATCAAAAGAAGACAAACACCTAAGAATGAAGATCAAAAGTTGAATATATTAACAGAAGTTACAAAAGCCATGTTACATAGAAGTCAGAAAGCAAATCTGAAAGCTCATCACCGATGGCAGAAGCGGCAAAGAGGTAAGTACCTACTACTTCCCTCATGTTTTTGAAGCTTCACGCATCAGACCTTTTGGCCACACCAACAGTAATGAAATTTCTTGTACATAAAGTGTTGTATACAACCCTACTCTCATGTTTGTGAAATGTTGTATACAACGGTTTATTTATGAGAATTTCTCCAAGGTGTTAAAAGTTTAAGCATGAGAGTGTATGAATCGAAGAAGGAAGAAAGAAAAATCACAGAAATAGAGATAGTGATGGATGCTTCTCTTTCTCTCTGCAAAATCACAGAGGAATGTTTTCTTTTATTCTCACACTAGCACACACAATCGTGTGATGCGATATTTATACGCACACAAATTAAACCCTCTTTTTGTCAATTGTAGTATAAGTATAAGTAGGGATCGTTCTGGACCGGGGATTAGGAGGGATTGTTAATCACTTGGATTTGACTCAAAAACGTAAAAACAAGTTTAAAACACTAAACTAAACTTGAAGAATGCAAAACTAAACTTTAAAACACCAAAACAAACCAAAAGACTCAAAATACATAAAAACACAAAATAAGATAGATTAAGACTAAGGCTAAACAAAGTACGGGGGGGAGGATTGAGGTTTGGACGAATTTAAACTAAAATGGATAGAATGTAAAGAAAACAAATTGTAAATATGAATTTGACGGAAATGAATGGATGGGAAGCTAGCTAAGGGGTTCATCTCCATACATGTTATACTTGCATACAAAATGATTTCTAATTGCTTTTCAATAAACCATGAATTCTCAACACCCCTGGTTAATTAGGTCCGTTTAAATTAACCGTCAAGTTTTCCTTAAGTTAATGAATTGGATGATTGCATACGACAACCCAAAGCATTCCCCACAAGTTCCCTACATGAATTGCATAATAGAGATACAAGCAAGAATCATTAAGTTCTTTGAAAACTATAAATGTTGACGAGACATTCGTTACTATGATTGCATGAAACTTATGCCAAGAATTTAGTTAACGCGATTGTTTATGAGCAACCTCCATTACTTGTGAATATAAGTTCATAACTATTAGGTGAAACTCACTTATATTCTAGCGTCATATTCATGCATGAAAATTAAGCGTTCATTCTCAATAAACATACATAAATAGGTTATCAATCAAACAGTTAAACAAATTGAATTCACAACTTATGAAACGTAATTAGAAGTAATCAAATCATATTGCAAGCATAAACATATATTTCGAATCCCCCCCTAGCCAAGGGGG